TTGAAAAGAAAGTAGATGAAAGACGAAGTAAGTAGTGTTTGAAAAATAAAAAATAAAATGTGCACAAATTTTTATACTGGTTCACTCAATCTGAGTTACGTCCAGTCTCCTTCAACTGAAGGGTTCCACTAATCATAGAGGATTACAAGTATTCTCAACCACTTTTGGCTCGTCAACCTCACTTGTCAATGCTAGTATTCTTAACCACTTCTGGTTCTTCAGGTACTCTTGACCACTTCTAGCCCGCTAGCTTGACTCACTAGCGCTAGTATTCTCAACCACTTCTGGCTCACAAGTATTCTTTCTACTAGCCTCTTCAAGCTTTACAGTAAATAAGGGTGTTGAGTGTGTTTGCAACTCTCACAGAGAGGATAAGATAGTTTCTACACTCACTAAGGTGCGTAACCTTAGTCTTACAGGAATAAGTGTCTAAGTGTTGTGTTTACTCTTGTAGATAGTATAGAATATTAGCAACACTCACTAAGATAGGCTATCTTAGTTTTTACACAGATATATAAGAAATGCTTTGAGAAGAAATGTAGCTTATGATTTTTCACTTCCTTTTTCTTACTACACGTTTTCTCTAAAAAAAATTTTCAGTTCTCTTCTACTTCTTCTTCTTCCTTGCCTTGATACTTATAGCCCGTTGATAGATCTGCCCGTTGTTTGAATTCAAATTTTCCTGTTGGAGCGGAACTTCATGTCGTTGCAGATGGAGGCTTGTTCATAGGTATGTAAATCTTTACATTTAATGGATTTGATCTTGCATTAAATATTTGCTTGTATACGTGAAGTCCTTCTGTGTAATTGATAATTTCAATGTCTGACTTCAATTATGATCTAGGCATATTTGTACTTTTCTCATCAGTTTTGCTGCTAAAGTACTGTCTTTCTCTGAAAAGTAGGTGTCCTTTTCCTGACATGCACAACTTTGAGTTCTGAATCCACGCTTGCCTATTTTCCTTTTTCTTTTTCTTTGTATTCACGTTTGATGTCCTTTGTTTTTCTTGTATGATTTCACTCGATGTGATTAGTGGACTTCAGACGCGCTTCATTATTTTTCGACTGCGTCTGGATACATGATACTTCGTCTAATCTTGACTACCCTTTACGTCTGGTGATGAGAGTGATAACTTCGTCTTCTAGTTCATTAGGCTCTATCTGATGATTTCACAACTCCATGTTGATGTTTAGCCGACTTTCGTCCCGTTCTTGACTTAGTCTCATAAGATGCTTGTTTCGGTCTTATATCTAATTCCTTAGGCTTCAGCTGATAGCTTCATCTTATCTTGTATTTGATTAGGGCTGGATCAACCTTAGTCTTGATACTAGCTTTTACCATCGTCTGATGTCTTGTCCAATTCGATTATGCTTGATCATACTTGTCCTTTAGTTTTTCCTGAACTTATTGTTATTCATCTGAAACACTAATACACATGTTAGCAATAACAATATGTATTATATTTGTCATATTCAAAACCTTGGTGGGAATTGCGAATGCGCTTCGTCTGGCTTAACATATGCTACCAAGTTTGATGAACTGGTCTAGTACTACTCTCATTACCATGGTGAGGGTGGTGATATGGCGAAATGTATCAAGTTTGTGAATGGTCTTCATCCTAAGGTGAAGATAGTGAATTACCAAGATATATACTATTATCCGACACTATGAACAACTATAGGATCTTTGATTGCGATAATCAAGTAAGCACTACACACTACAAAAGTATGGGTCCTATCCAAGATGGGAGGTTAGAGTAAGAGTAGGCCATATTCCACACCTGCAAAGTTTCAAGGGAATCGAGTTGGAGGAGGTGGAAGCAAAATATTATTTTTTTATGCATAACAATATTAATTTTTTTATGCATAACAATATTACTTTGTCCTCTGAATCTTGCTTTATTAACTATTAGCAAGGGTTGAATGCTCAAGTTTTTGGTTTAAACAAATTGTTCCCTTTTCCATTTTAATTTTAAATTCAAAATAGTTTTTTCTTATAAATAAGTTATCATGTTTAGTTCACGAAAAAAAATCTTACAAAACAAATCTATATAATAATATTTAATTTCAATAAAAAAATTGCTTAGATGTGTATTATGTGTAACAACCTGGACATACCGGAATGAGAAGGATCTAGAGATTTGTATCAGTACGAGATTGTACAATTGAGGATGACATAAAAGAATTAATTTATTCTACCTATACTAACAATAAATCTACTTTTCAATAACCCATCACATAAGAACTTCATAGTTAAACATGTTTTATTTATAGCAATTTAGGTATGGGTGACCTTCTGGGAAGTTTCCCAAAATGTGTGCAAGTGAGGATAAAGCATGTTGAAAAGTCTTGTGTTGGTTTGTGGGGTCAATTGTTGATCTTAAAGGTGGATAAACAATTCAGAAAGGGCTATTCACGGAGGGTTTTGACTAGTGAAAGGTTCTGAAATGTCTTTTGGGAAGTTTTCCAAAAAGTGTGCAAGTGAGGACAAAGCATGCTAAAAAAGTCAAATGCTGATTTGTGGGGGTTGTGACCAACATGGGGTTGTGTGAAGTGCCTTCTGGAGAGTTTCCCAGAAAATGTGAGTGAGGACAAAACACGCTAAAAAGTCTTGTGTTGATTTGTGGGGTCAATTGTTGATCCTAAAGGTAGATGGACATCTCATAAAGGGCTACTCATGAAGGATTCTGACTAATGAAAGGTTCTAACCAACCGAGAGTTGTATGAAATGTAATCATGTGAAGTGGAGTCGTTAAGACTTCAAATTTGAGGTGTGTTTCATTGTGAAGTGTGTGTTGCCAAGCTCGTACGTATCAAACTTTCTCAAGCTTTTTATATATTATTAATTAACAATATTTTCTATATACATTGTTTATTTGGCTCATTTAGTTAAATTGTGTCATCCTTAATTTGATTTTTAAGTATGCAAATATTTTTACTATCATAAGCATGGAACACAAGAAAAAAGGAAAATAAATTCAAAATATTTTTGAAAATAAATAACCAACATTACTCATTATTTAAAATTTGTTTATTACAATAATATTTAAATATCATTTCTACCGAGAATATTTTTCTTTTTGATTCTTCTAATGTATTATTCCTTTTTCTTGTGTAACAGCCCAATTTTCATAGAATGTACGAGGGCCCAAAAGCCCAATTAGGGTAATTTAGTAATTCACAGGGGTGTTTTAGTAGCCCAGAACGGACCGTTCTAAAATTGGAACGTGCCGTTCCAAGTTACTAAAATGAAGGTGATTTAGTGACTCGGAACGGACCGTTCCGGAAATGGAACGGGTCGTTTCAAACTATTAAATTTGCCTATGATTCTTAGTTGGGAACGGGCCGTTCCGGATTTCAGAAATGGCCTTTAAACCTTATTGAGAACGGGCCGTTCTGGTTTCAGAACGGGTTATTCCAAAATATGACCGTTGAGAGTTTTTAATGGAAACCCAGAACGAGCCGTTCTGGATGTGAATTTTTTTCATGGTTTAAGGGTCCATAACGGGCCGTTCCGGAGACACCTGATGCCTATAAATAGAGCACTCTGCCACTCCCAAAAAGCACACTCTTCACTTTTCTCTTCTTTTCTTCTTTGCTCTCTTCTTTTCCTTCTACACTCTCTGAAGATTGAGAGGTACTCAGAGGAGGAGACCAAGGAGATCTCTGTTTTAGTTTCAACTACTGTTTATCCAGGTACGGGGAAAAAAAGGATTATTTATATGTAGAGTTACATGAGGGGATTGGGTAGAGGAAGAGCCCTTAGGATTATGAGTAATTTTATAATTATTTCTGTTTGGAGAATTATTGATTTTATATGATTTATATGTGTTAAGGATTATGAATATATGATTAGTTTGTACAAATGATGATCTGGGAGAGAGAACGAAATCATAGAAAAGTGCCTGTGAGTTAGGTTTTGGAAAAATTGGGGGTTTTATTGTTTGGGTTAAGATTATATTAAATTGGCGATTTAATATGGTTTTATATTAATTATTATTACATGAATTGGTAAAATTGATGATAAATATTATTATTACATGATTTGGTAAAATTGATGATCTAGATGAGGATGAGGATTCATGGTGAATTACTTGAGGGGTATGTGAACCACTATTTTGTGTGGATTGTGTATGTATTGTGGAATTGAGATGTGGATGTGGATGTGAATGTGATTGTGGTTCCTCACACTTGTGACCAAGGGTGGCACGACCTTTGACAAGAGATGCTACAGGCGTGACCTTGGCATAGTATGGGATGGGTGATTCCTCATGCTTATGTCGGGGGTGGCACGACCTCGAGCAAGAGATGTTGTAGGCTTGACCTTGGCACAGTGTAGGAGTGTGATTTCTCATGCTTATGTCGGGGGTGGCACGATCTTGGGCTAGAGATGCTACAGGCGTGACCTTGGCATATGGTGGGATGTGTGAGGCAATTAATGTTTATGTCGGGGGTGACACGACCTCGAGCAAGAGATGCTACAGGCGTGACCTTGACATAGGGTTAACTGTAAGATTTGTGTGGATTGTAATGGATTTGTTTGATTATGAATAATGATGTGAAGATGATGAATGATTGATAGAATGATGATATATCTATAGAAATGCTTAGTTATGATGAGATAATGTTGTGGATTTCCTTGTGTGCTTTATATATAAATGTTTTCTTTTCTCAACGTACAATTTGTGAATGTTTTAGGTGAGGAAGATCCGGCTTTGAGTGACATCTACAATGTCAACCGTTGAGTTGTGGGTGTGCTCTGATATTATGACATAGGGGCAGAAAATTCTAGGATAAATTTTTATATGTATTTAGAATTATGCCTTCTCTTTTGAAAACAATTTGTAAACTCTCAAGTTTTACTTTCTAAATTTTATTTTTAATTATTTTGGTTATTTGTGAAGATTTTATGTGAACCCTTTTACTAGTGTTGAAAATTTTATTTCTTTAATTTAATTGCATTATTACGCTTTCTATGTTGGGGTAGTAAGGGTATCACATCTTGCATGCTTGCAAGCAAGAATTCACCAAATAGGTCACCCCAAGGCTATGAGCATCTACAATGTAAAATCAGTTATTAAAAACATGTAAAAAAAATAGTTAACTCATTTATAAATAATAAGATTGTAACTTAATAAAAAGAGCATTGAAAGTAAATGAACTATACCAGTATCGATGTTAATGGAGTTGTTCATGTCACAACTACTAATACAATCCAAAGCAACATCAATGGGCATTTCATTACATTTTGCAGTACAAGTAGCAACACATACTGGATACAAAATTTTGATTTTTGCGACAACAACGCATTGTGCAGCACATTTGCCAAGACACTTAAGCCTTCCAAAAAAATTGTTTGGTTCAATGTGGGAAGATGTTGGATATACATCAGCTTGTGCAAATGCTAGCATAATCATGACTATAATCATCACTCCAATAGTTTGAATCCCATTTTTTGCCATTTCTCTCAATAGAGTCTTAACAATCTAATTCAATATTATGTACTTTGGTGGTTATGTTTCAAGTAAAAGAAAGATCAATTTATAGGCATAGAATAATGCATGCAAAATAATTTAAACTTTTCGATATCGTTTTATATTATGATTTTAAAAGATTTTGTGGTCCTTCAAGATTTGATTTTTATAATTGAAATAAAATATATATGTGCATTAAATATTATAGAACGATTGTTTAATTAACAAAAAGTTAATTTTTTTTGTTAATTATTCTTTATAGATATAGACTAGTTACACATATTTAGTGAGATTTCTTATCTAAACCCTATTTTTTCTATTTACAATAATTGAATTTGAAATATTATTTAAGAAATTTGATATCATTTTCTTTCCAACTAGTGTAATTACAATAATTAAATATTTACTAGCAATTATAACAAGCATTAATATAGTAAACAATTAAATAAATTTAGAAAAGTAAAAAAAAATATTTTATAAATTTAATAATCTCAATTGCAATAGTTTGAAAGAAACTCATGCTAATGTATACCTATTAATAAAAGGGATTGGAGTATGCAAGCACTTTTGGTCTCCACTTTTTAGTGGATTATTATACCCCTCAGATGTAATTTTTTATATATCCTTTATAAATAACTATTCATAATCTTCTAATTGCATGGCTATGAGTAAAAATAGTAAAGATGTGGGGTCAGTTGTTGATCCAAAAGGTGGATAAATGTTTCATTAAGGGCTACTCACGTAGGGTTTTGACTAGTGAAAGGTTCTAACTAACATGGAGTTGTGTGAAATGTCTTTTGGGAAGTTTTGCAAATAGTGTGCAAGTGAGGACAACGCACGCTAAGAAAGCCTTATGTTGGTTTGTGGGGGTTGTGACCAACATGGGGTTGTGTGAAGCGCCTTCTGGGAAGTTTCCCAGAAAATGTGAGTGAGGACAAAACACGCTAAAAAGTCTTGTGTTGATTTGTGGTGTCAATTGTTGATCCTAAAGGTAGATGGACATCTCATAAAGGGCTACTCATGAAGGCTTCTGACCAATGAAAGGTTCTAACCAACCGGGAGTTGTATGAAATGTCATCATGTGAAGTGGAGTCGTTGAGACTTCAAATTTGAGGGGTGTTTCATTGTGAAGTGTGTGTTGCCAAGCTCGTACGTATCAAATTTTCTCAAGCTTTTTATATATTATTAATTAACAATTTTTTTATATACATTGTTTATTTGGCTCATTTAGTTAAATTGTGTCATCCTTAATTTGATTTTTAAGTATGCAAGTATTTTTACTATCATAAGCATGGAACATAAGAAAAAAGGAAAATAAATTCAAAATATTTTTGAAAATAAATAACCAACATTACTCATTATTTGAAATTTGTTTATTACAATAATATTTAAATATCATTTCTACCGAGAACATTTTTCTTTTTGATTCTTGTAATGTATTAAACCTTTTTCTTGCATGCTTGCAAGCAAGAATTCACCAAATAGGTCACCCCAAGGCCATGAGCATCTGCAATGTAAAATCAATTATTAAAAACATGTAAAAAAATTGTTAACTCATTTATAAATAATAAGATTCTAACTTAATAAAATCAACATTGAAAGTAAATGAACTATACCAGTATCGATGTTAATGGAGTTGTTCATGTCACAACTACTAATACAATCCAAAGCAACATCAATGGGCATTTCATTACATTTTGCAGTACACGTAGCAACACATACTGGATACAAAACTTTGATTTTTGCGACAATAATGCATTCTGCAGCACATTTGCCAAGACACTTAAGCCTTCCAAAAAAATTGTCTGGTTCAATGTGGGAAGATGTTGGATATACATCAGCTTGTGCAAATGCTAGCATAATCATGGCTATAATCATCACTCCAATAGTTTGAATCCCATTTTTTGCCATTTCTCTCAATAGAGTCTTAACAATCTAATTCAATATTATGTACTTTGGTGGTGATGTTTCAAGTAAAAGAAAAACCCAGGGCTAAAAAACCACAGCCATGGTTGCAAGTCTTTGCCATCACGTTTTTCCCTCCCACGGCTATGGCTGTGAATCCACGGCTATGGCTATGGGTTGTACAAGTTCATTTTTTCCTCCACGGCTACAGCTGTGGGTTTCTACAAGTTCATTTTCCTCCACGGCTATAGATGTGAATCCACGGCTATGGTTGTGGATCTTAGAATTTCTAAAACTCCATGGATTTCACCTTTGTTTTCACTCAAATCCTCCATGAACTTGTAATCCAAGGAGACCCAATCCATGCTACAACTCAAATGCAACACTACCAACCACATGCAACCCAAAAACATCAAGAATCACATGCATGCATCAAGAACAACCACAAGGTGCTAGCTTTCAACATGCAACCAACCTTAAATCCACCCCCAAAACTCAAATTTTCCAAGAATTTAGTTAGTATTATGTTTCAATTCAAACAACAACTCAAGATTCTAGCTTCCCTTACCTTAATCCCAAGCTCTAGGAGGAAGAATAAGAGAAAAACGGAGGAGAAGAATGGAGAAGGAGATTCCGTGCGACTCTAGTGCTCAAAGTCCTTAACTTTCCTTATTGCTCAATACCTTGGTGAATCAAAATGACAGGATGAGTTTAGCAACAAAGAAACATCAAGAGTGAAATGGTTTTCCAGCCCAACGAGTGAAGGTAAGTGCATGAAGGAAGAAAAGAAGAAAATGGGAAAAGAAAGAAATAGTAGAAGGACTCTCAATTCAATAAAAGTTCTAGTGTTCGGACTCCATTCTCATTTCTTTGGAATCCCTACCCATTCTTCTTCTTGGTTCTTCTTCGAGACTAGCTCTACCTAGAATAACCGTATCAATTGGTATCAAAGCTGTTACCTTCCAACCACAATCACCATGGCAGATAACACCCGCACCGTTCGCGAAGATTTTGAGAACTGTCATCATGTGAAGTGGAGTCGTTGAGACTTCAAATTTGAGGGGTGTTTCATTGTGAAGTGTGTGTTGCCAAGCTCGTACGTATCAAATTTTCTCAAGCTTTTTATATATTATTAATTAACTATTTTTTTATATACATTGTTTATTTGGCTCATTTAGTTAAATTGTGTCATCCTTAATTTGATTTTTAAGTATGCAAGTATTTTTACTATCATAAGCATGGAACATAAGAAAAAAGGAAAATAAATTCAAAATATTTTTGAAAATAAATAACCAACATTACTCCTTATTTGAAATTTGTTTATTACAATAATATTTAAATATCATTTCTACCGAGAACATTTTTCTTTTTGATTCTTGTAATGTATTAAACCTTTTTCTTGCATGCTTGCAAGCAAGAATTCACCAAATAGGTCACCCCAAGGCCATGAGCATCTGCAATGTAAAATCAATTATTAAAAACATGTAAAAAAATTGTTAACTCATTTATAAATAATAAGATTCTAACTTAATAAAATCAACATTGAAAGTAAATGAACTATACCAGTATCGATGTTAATGGAGTTGTTCATGTCACAACTACTAATACAATCCAAAGCAACATCAATGGGCATTTCATTACATTTTGCAGTACACGTAGCAACACATACTGGATACAAAACTTTGATTTTTGCGACAATAATGCATTCTGCAGCACATTTGCCAAGACACTTAAGCCTTCCAAAAAAATTGTCTGGTTCAACGTGGGAAGATGTTGGATATACATCAGCTTGTGCAAATGCTAGCATAATCATGGCTATAATCATCACTCCAATAGTTTGAATCCCATTTTTTGCCATTTCTCTCAATAGAGTCTTAACAATCTAATTCAATATTATGTACTTTGGTTGTGATGTTTCAAGTAAAAGAAAGATCAATTTATAGGCATAGAATAATGCATGCAAAATAATTTAAACTCATTGATATTATTTTATATTAGGATTTTAAAAGATTTTGTGGTCCTTCAAGATTTGATATTTATAATTGAAATAAAATATATATGTGCATTAAATATTATAGAACAATTGTTTAATTAACAAAAGGTTAATTTTTTTGGTAGTTATTCTTTATAGATATAGACTAGTTAGACATATTTAGTGAGATTTCTTATCTAAACCCAAGTTTTTCTATTTACAATAATTGAATTTGAAATATTATTTAAGAAATTTGATATCATTTTCATTCCAACTAGTGTAATTACAATAATTAAATATTTACGAGCAATTATAACAAGCATTAATATAGTAAACAATTAAATAAATTTAGAAAAGTAAAAAAAAATATTTTATAAAGTTAAGAATCTCAATTGCAATAGTTTGAAAGAAACTGGTTCTAACCAACCGGGAGTTGTATATAATGATCATGTGAAGTGGAGTCGTTGAGACTTCAAATTTGAGGGGTGTTTCATTGTGAAGTGTGTGTTGCCAAGCTCGTACGTATCAAACTTTCTCAAGCTTTTTATATATTATTAATTAACAATATTTTCTATATACATTGTTTATTTGGCTCATTTAGTTAAATTGTGTCATCCTTAATTTGATTTTTAAGTATACAAGTATTTTTACTATCATAAGCATGGAACATAAGAAAAAGGGAAAATAAATTCAAAATATTTTTGAAAATAAATAACCAACATTACTCATTATTTAAAATTTGTTTATTACAATAATATTTAGATATCATTTCTACCGAGAACATTTTTCTTTTTGATTCTTCTAACGTATTATTCTTTTTTCTTGCATGCTTGCAAGCAAGAATTCACCAAATAGGTCACCCCAAGGCCATGAGTATCTGCATTGTAAAATCAATTATTAAAAACAT